CATGAACAATTTATTAGAACGGCAAACAGTTTTATCAGACACCTGTAGAAAGATGTGTAATTCAAAATTTCACCTATCACAACAAAACCTTACCAAAACATATATAATGACAAAATACAAAATAGCGTCTGTAACCTTATATCAGTTCATATTAAACATTCAGTACTTGGTTGGTCCTCCTCTTACTCTAATAACCTCCGCAAGGCGACGTAGCATGCTGTCGATGAGATTATTAATGTAATTCATCGTGATTTCATTCAGACTTGTCACTAAAAGACGCTGAAACTCAGCTACAGTAGTTGGTTTAGGGTCGTGGTTAGCTATTTTCCGGATCCGTTTTGCCCCAACGTTCTCAATGGAATTACAATCTGGAGACTTTGGTGGCCATGATAATCTTGTAACGTCCTCTTAATTGAAATCATCCTGTTCAATACGCGCACTGTGGGAGTGACACTGTCATCCTGGAACATAAAGTTATTGCCAAACCTTCCCTAAAATGTGGTATCCATGTCTCCATGTGATGCCTGTAGGAGGCGCCATTTACGTTTCCCTGGAGAGTATGAAAAGCAACTGTTCCACCATGATGAATACCTGCCCAAACATGTACTGCACCACCTTCTGTGTGTTGCCTATGGAAACGACAGTCTTCCCTCATCTGTTCTCCAAGCAAACGACCAACATGAATCAGCTTTAACAAGCTGAAAACATGTCACAAATGTTTTAACTGTGAGTTGGTATACTGTCTTGCCCAAGTAACACAGTGACGGCGGTGAATTATGGTTAATATCAGTTTGCAAATAGCTCTCCTTGCAAAATAAACCTGTTTATTCAGTCTAATATTCACTGTTCTTCTGGATACCCTAGAATTAATGTGTTATTGCCATTCCTATCATAAGGTGTTGCAAGATTTCTTTCGACCTGAACGTGTTAACCTGATCAAAACATCTTGGGTGGGTGTTTTTCGACGTCTGCAGTATAATTTCGTGGAATAAAGTTCCCTGTAATCCAATGACATTTCAGGATTCTGGATACAGTACACTGGGGGTACCCTACTATTCTGGCAATGCCCGTTTGCTTCATACCATTTCTGGACAGTCGAACTTTTAAGCGACCTATAACGTCTGGCATGTGATGAGGCATAACTAACTCTATATCAACTACATAGAAATTATATGAACAAAGCATTGATCTGTTTCAATAAAGATTACACCAAAAGCACACTCTTTTACATAAAATGGATTTGTATGTGTGTTTTGACGAACAAATGCTCAAACCAAGTTATGCAAACCAGAATAACAACTCGTACATCTTTGTCTGATCATACGCTACCTTCTCTGTTACTATTCAGGCATTTACTCAATAGCTACTCCATGCATGTAGACAATAACATTAATATAAAACAGTATGTAGACATTTTGACCATGACTGTAATATTTACTGTATAGACACTGAAGGCATTGTAATAAAACGAATAAAAGCAAGTAATGTGCGAAATGTTGAACTAGTGTTCATTTAATTAGAAACAAATATATATCCTATCTGCTGTTGTTAGACGTTATAACCCTTCTTCTGTTGTTATAGAAGTATGTTGAATTTAGCTATACACCAAACAAACCTGATGTTTACGACTCATAAAGTTCCAATAAAATGATATATATAGTTCACAATGAGAATAAAAGTTAATTTATTTAATAAAGAAAACAGAACTGACAAACAAATGCAAATGTTTTGAATACTTTAGAGTATAGAATTTTTTCTTTGTTTGTGTAATAATAATATCTGTAGATGGGCAGGTGTTTCTAATTTTAGAAGAAATTCCAACTCGATTACTGTATTTCGACAATTTATACGTTGGGCTCTATTCCAATGTACATTTTCAAATATATAAGGCCTATTAAATATTTTGATAATTCCGGTGATATAAGTTTAATCGTTTGAAGTCGAGACTATCTGTGGACTAGATACCAAACTGAGAAACTTTCTTTTTATTTAATACTATAAATGCTATGTTGTTTTGAGTATTACTTACTTCATATATGTGCAATAATATAGTTTTAATTGCTAAATAAGCTATTTCTCTCAAATTTAAAAGCTCTCTTGAGACGTTGATTTTTGATTTAACATCTTTGTTTTGAAAGATTGTGGTTATATTTTGTTAACGCCTATGAATGTTTTTACACGCCAATCATTTATATTAACACAATTTATGTATTTAAAGTTATGCATTTTATCTTTAAAGATAAAAGAGTATCCCGACAAGGGTTACAATAAAATAGTTACCTCTGGCTTCTTTACTGGCTTCTGTCAGCAGCTTTGTAAAGTTAGCATCTACAACCGATTTGTGAGAAAATTCTTTTACGGAATAAAAAATTTCATAATCAC